TTTAATTTCGGGGATGAAATTCTTTAAAGGGGGGAGGTTATAGCGATCCCGGTTGTCCCTTTACTGTTCTGTTGTATTCCGGACTTGGTTCCGTGAAGTTGGTAGTTGTATCTATCTTGTTGTCGTCCTTTAATTCCACTTGATTGAGTTTTAGGATGTATTGGGCAGAGTTGTTACAGATTGGTTAGGCTTTGGTTTCAATTCTTTGTTGTCCAGTTTTTAGGAGGTCCGCTCGTCCGGGTCTTATTGCGCTCGAGCGGATGTTGCACGCTCCCAGTTTTTCGTGTCCCTGCAAAACTTCTGCAGGTGTGATTTTTATGCTCGAGCGGGTTTCTTTACGCTCGAGCGGTAGCGCTCAAGCGGATACTCTAGCGCTCGAGCGGGTAGTACTTTTTTGTGTAAGTTCTGGGAGGGGGAAATCTACGCTCGAGCGGACTGGTTTTCACGCTCGAGCGGATGTACTTTATTCTTGTGTCTTGGCGCTCGAGCGAGCCTTCTTGCGTTCGAGCGTACCTAGTTTTTTGTTCTTGACACTCGAGCGTTGTGTTATCCGCTCGAGCGGGAATGTCGTATATCAGTTGACAGCTGGGCATTTTAAAATCACTTTTTACATTCACACTCTCTCTCTTACTTTTTCAAAACGCCATTTGAGAGCTTCTCTCTCTAGAACCTTGCCTTCTCTCTAGGTATTGATCTAGTTGGAGTTGTTTCCTCACCTTTGGCCTTTACAAAAAAAGTTGTTGATCGTCGAGGGCTATCTTTTGATCCAAGAAACTTGTGATTTGAAGCAACTTCGTTTTTATCATCTTCTTCGTTGGGTGTCAACTTTTGAGGTAGGGATTCCTACTCACTCTTATGAGTTTTAACCTAGATTTTGAGCTTATTGTTTAAATGGTTGATTTTGAGACTTGGGGTTCCAAAATGTGTTAAAGAGGGTTTTGTGATTTTGGGCTCATAATATGTATTTTGTGTTTCAAAATGGTGTTATTGTCGTTGGTTGTTAAAAAATAGACCATTGGGTCAATATTGGGTAATGGATTAGAAAATCCTAATTGGTTGTATAAATTAATTGGTATGATTAATTTGAGAAAATGGTGGTTGTACGAAATTGAGTTGGGAATAATGAAATTGACTCGTTATATGGTTGAATAGTGGAGTTAGATTTATTAATCGCTCACTTTTGAAAACATTGATATTTTATCTGTTGGAGCTTTTATTATCTGTTTAGAAATAATTGCTTCGGCTACCTTTGGAGGGCAGTTTTGATTGTTGTAGAAACTAAAACTAATCAATTGAAACTAAAACTAATCAATTGGATATGTCATAGAGTATGACGGTTGATAGAATACATTAACGTTATGTATTGATTGATTGTGTATATGACCTTTGTGTATATAGGGGCGCATAATTTACTTTTTATTTGTTAAATATTATTTGATTTTAATATTATTACTTTATATATATATATATATATATCACATCCGTGTACTAAGTACACAGCTGCAGCCTCTTCTTTTTCTTTACCTCAATGTTAAACACACAGCTATGAAACAATAAAGGGGTAGATAATAAGTAAGTAAAATTACTATCTTACCCTTTATATTTTGTTCTATGTAATCATTTTCCATTTTAGTCAAGAGGGACATAATAGTCATTTTGTATGTCAATCCCATAATTATATGAGCTCAACGGGTATAATAATGCAACAATTCTTTTGCCACATATGGACGAAATTCATAACATGTAATAAATGGAAAAAAAATTGATAATGTTTTATAAGATTTACATTATGATTTGTATTTTAAAATATTAAATTTAGTGTATTTATTCCTTCTTTATTAATATGTATTTTCAAAAGTTGTTGACTTTAACAAAATGTTAGAAAAAAATTAAAAACGTATTTTACAAATGAATTGATAGAAAAATTAATTGGCAGAAAATAATTGACATAGGTTTATTTTAAAATGAAAAAATTATTTCGAAAAAACAATTATTCAAAAAAATTACAAAATAAAAAATTAATTGACCAAAAAAATCAATTTTTAATTTCAGTAATTTAAAAATAGTTTGGTTATTATTGTTGATAAAAAATATGGATATCGATATATGAGTTATGTGTTTGATGATAAATTATTGGTTGAATTAAATTTTGAAAACTATTTTCAAAATACATCATTAAACAAATTTTCATCTTTAACATGTCACATCAAACTTTCAAAACTTAATTGAAAATACATCTTCAAAACACAATTCAACAATCTATTTAAAAATCATAACCAAACAAATTTTCTACACTCAAATCATAATTCTACAACCCACAAACTCAAAATACAACTCATACTCTCAAATCACATTTACAAAACACAACCAAACGCAGGCTTAATTTCTTATGTAAGAACATGTGAAAGTGTCTTTAATATATAAAAAGTACACTTAGTGTTTTTAATATTTTATGTTCTATCTACTTCATTAATTTGACTCATTTAGATTACTTACTCAAAAAAATGACTCATTTAGGTTTTCATTTGGAAAAAATTAATTTAATCTAATTTTTTGATTACTTTAGCTTGGTAAATTAGTTCTGCTTGTATAGAGATCCCGGTTGTCAATTTACTGTTCCGTTGTATTCCGGACTCGGTTCCATGATGTTGATAGTGGTACACCTTGTTGTCATCCTTTAATTCCACTTGATTGAGTTTTAGGATGTATTGGGCAGAGTTGTTACAGATTGGTTAGGCTTTGGTTTCAATTCTTTGTTGTCCAGTTTTTAGGAGGTCCGCTCGTGCGGATCTTATTGCGCTCGAGCGGATGTTGCACGCTCCCAGTTTTTCGTGTCCCTGCAAAACTTCTGCATATGTGATTTTTATGCTCGAGCGGGTTTCTTTACGCTCGAGCGATAGCGCTCAAGCGGATACTCTAGCGCTCGAGCGGGTAGTACTTTTTTGTGTAAGTTCTGGGAGGGGGAAATCTACGCTTGAGCGGACTGGTTTTCACGCTCGAGCGGATGTACTTTATTCTTGTGTCTTGGCACTCGAGCGACCCTTCTTGCGCTCGAGCGTACCTAGTTTTTTGTTCTTGACGCTCGAGCGTTGTGTTATCCGCTCGAGCGGGAATGTCGTATATCAGTTGACAGCTGGGCATTTTAAAATCACTTTTTACATTCACACTCTCTCTCTTACTTTTTCAAAACGCCATTTGAGAGCTTCTCTCTCTAGAACCTTGCCTTCTCTCTAGGTATTGATCTAGTAAGAGTTGTTTCCTCACCTTTGGCCTTTACAAAAAAAGTTGTTGATCGTCGAGGGCTATCTTTTGATCCGAGAAACTTGTGATTTGGAGCAACTTCGTTTTTTATCATCTTCTTCGTTGGGTGTCAACTTTTGAGGTAGGGATTCCTACTCACTCTTATGAGTTTTAACCTAGATTTTGAGCTTATTGTTTAAATGGTTGATTTTGAGACTTGGGGTTCCAAAATGTGTTAAAGAGGGTTTTGTGAAAAAGGCCAGGCTACAATATTTTCCATACATATCATATGTAAATTATAATCAAGATTGGAATTCGTTTTAAACTATTGCAGTGCTAGGTTACGGGGGTATTATGGTGGTGGAGCAAGCAAAATATTAAATAAATTAGTTAGGAGCAAGCAACCTATTATGATAAAATTGATTAGAACTTATTATGGTATTTGATTATATTTTAAAATGACGTTAGTTATAATTCATTACAACAACCTTAGTTATAACAAAAATATTTCTTATTTACATATTACATCTTAAAATAATACTAATTATGATTAATATAATAATAAAAAATGAGACATAATAAACTTTGTTTTGATAATTTATTATTTCAACCACTACAATAAAATGTAACCAAACACCATTTTACTAAATATTAATTTAAACCATAACATGCCTCTCACTACAATTGCATGTAACCAGGATCATGTTAGAACATAGTCAAACATTATAACAAGACATAACAAATTTAATTTAACAGTGACTTAATTACTTAATACTATATTTTTACAAAAACTTTGCTTTTCTCATCTAAAAATTTGTTAGTAAAAATATAAATAAATTAAGATTTGACTTTTGTAACAAAATAGAAATTTATTTTTAATTTTATCAATTTAAATTCTAAACTTTTGATTTGTTTTAAATTTAAATCATTTGCTTATTTTCGTTATGTAAAATTGATAAAAAATAATAATATTATAATTATTAAACTCAATATAGATAAGTAAAATATTTAAAATATCAAATTTTTTTTTTTTGTAGAGCATAATGACCAAAATATCATTTTTTATCAATCTTAATTACTTAAACACAACTAAACAAATAGTTTAGATTAAAAATATAAGTATATTTAAATTGACAAAATTAAAAGTTCTAAGGGTTGGTTTGGGAAGTAGGTTGGCTTTTTGGCTTTATAACTTTTTGGCTATTTTAGCCTAGGCTAGAAAGCTTGGTTTCGGAAGGGCTTTTTGGCTTTTTTGACTTTTTTGGATTTTTTGACTTTTTTTGTGAGAAAAGAATGTAATGATTATGGATTGGATATGATGTTCTGTTTGTTGTGGCTAAAATAGCCTATTTTGTTTTTTGTGGCTAAAATAGCCAAAAAA